GAGGTTAATCATAATGATTGTCAATGAAGTTTTATCTAAAAATCCCCTGTTCTTAAAAAATAGAACCTAGTCGAAAAATGGTTGTTTAGAAAATAGAGAAGACGCCTCTGTAAGGAGCTTGGACGTGCGAGTACTTGTTGTCTAAGGAGAAACGATGTTCAAAAGTTTTTTTTTAAATACAAATGAATACACCATTTTTTTTTAAAAAAAAAAGATTAATATTTATTTTTCTTAATAATCTTCTTTCATTAATCACCTTTCGTCTTCCTGCAACAAGAACAACAACAAATCCATTATCAACTTCTCTGCTGTATGATACAGTTTAAAAGGAGTTTTAGTGATCGACGTACATTGTGGAACTTCAATTTAACATGCAAAGGGACTGGGGAAATGTGTTAGTTAAGTGGAGGGTTCGCTATATCGAACACCTCTATATAACGAATGCTTGGGAAATGTTACATCGTTAAGCGGAGATGAGGTTATAAGGTGTGTATGACTGTGTATATAAACACTTGGATAGTTTGCCAGACACAAGTTCACAGATCTTTGATCTCTTTCTCTATCTCTTTGGCACGTTCTAGCCATTTCTAATACTTTATCCCCTGAAGGACATCTGTGAGCAATTATTGATCAAACCTTTTAATTTCTAAGGCTTAATTTCAGGCAAATAAAATGAACTGTTTGTAAAACTTTAACTTCTAATAATTAAATCTTTTGTAATGGTTTAAAATAAACTATTCTCAAAACAGAGAATGCTTTCAGATCATAGCTGTGTAAATCGAACTGAAACAGTGCATGGAACCTTTCGTTTCCTGTTTTTACTCTCACCTTCTGTACAGAATATGTGTGAAAATCTTTGATCATGAATTGGTATATTTCAAAGAGCTACACAACGACCAAGAATACTATTGACCGACAATATACAGAGGGGGTGGAGCTGTATTGTCAACTATTACTAGAAAAGATTTCTTATTTGAGGGAGGTGGTTAATAGAGGGATGGCTTTTATTCGAGGAAATAAAATATTTTGTATCATCTTACAATAGAACTTTGATTTCCACTTTAAGGTCAAATCCAGAGAGCTAAACTTTCAAGGTTTCCATATTTGTATATAAATGTATGGTTCAGATACATGTAAGAAAGACTTGCCAAAAAACTTATGAATTACTCAACTTGTTCAGATCTCAAGTGACATTTATATAACCACAAGTATTTGTTATTTTTGCATTCCCTAATACACCTTGTCCGTCTGCCCCCTCCCAATATTGTTGCATAAACTTTGCTTTCAGTATCTCCTGCGGAATGCAAAATGGTGAATACTGCTCTTCAACAGATATCTTTCCATCATAATGAAATGATTCTCTTCATCGAATTCTCATTAATGTATTGTCTTAAAAGTTAAATGACTAGAATGCCCAAGAGCAACATGATCAAACATTTTAAATGAGTTAAAAGTAAAAGAGAAATAGTGAAGAATTACAACTTCTAATCAAATCTTTGCTTATATTTTAGAATAAAATATTCTCGAAACTGAGAATGGTTTGATCTGAGCTGCTTTAAAATCGAACTGAATCACTGCATGAAACTTTTTGTTTTGTGTTCTTATCTATGTATGCAATATGTGTGAAAATATCCATTATGAATCTATGTTATTTAAAGAGCTACACAAACAAGAAGACTATTGACCGACCACGATACATAAAGAGCGGGGGCAGCTGTAGTGCCAACTATTGATAGATAAAGTATAAAGGAGTGCTGCCATATATTTATTTGTTATGGTCTACAGTTCAAGGTTGCTTTTTGACTTCCATAAACGGAAATCGGCTCATCCTCAGTGTAAGAACCTGTTAAACTCACAAGTGGCGAAAAACAGAGGAAACAAAGAAGTCAATGCAATAGAACATAGAAAAACAAAAGGTGCGAAACAAAGAAAAAGTTCACAGGTTCTTACACTGAGGTAAACCCTGGAAATCGATAGATTAGACGCCTTATACTACTACATGAAAAATTACTGCTATTTGATGGGCTAAGAGAAGTGATATTTCAGCTTAATTTGAAATACCTACATGTGAAAATTACAAAGCTTTTGCAGGTAGTAGTATAAACAAATAACTTGTGATATTTCAAAATTGTCTCAAATTTGAAATTACGTATAACAATTTCGAAATATCACTCGTGGTATTTATGCCAAATATCACTACAAATCATGCTAGTACCAAACAAAGCTCTTCATGTCATATGTCGTGGTAGCTTGCCCTCGATCATGGAAAAAAGAACAAGTTCCCTTTTTAACGATGATCAACTCAGTAGTATAATAAATATGTTAGCTTCCTCGCGAATTAAACGCTTTTTTCATTCCAGAAAATCTGAGGAAGTATTAAAAAGTTGAACTAGAAATCATATGAGCTTACCCCTAATACGTGAAAAGGTGAAAAGGGGTGCCATGACAGAAAACAAACAGAAAGACCTTACCAAATCTTCATCCACTTTGCTGGTTGATGAAGAAGCAACTTCTTTGCTCTTTTTTATTTTTCTCTCCCCGTTATGTCTAAAATCTCTCTTTGCGGGAGAACGTTTTGGCATGGTACAACAGCACCTACAACGCGACGGTTCACAACTGACAAGCGATCGACTAAGCGAGCGGCAAACAACCCAGCAAGTACGTCATGTAAGGTCACCTATTGACCAATAAAAACGCGGGCTCGAGTATTGGAGGGTCATTTTTTGGCCCTCTATTACAATCTTCCCCATGGTAAAGTACCCCCTTTTTGAACGCTTTTATAGCTCGAATTTTGGATGATGAGAGACGAAATTTAAATAAATTTCACAACTTCCGCAGTAGAACTTCGAATTTAGTCAATACGCATGGCAGTCACCCGCCGCTGTGCATTTAAGAGCCAGTCTCTGTAAGATCCTCCACCCGATTCACACGGAGGGTACTGGGTATCACCCGTAAAAATGATGCCCAAATTACCGGGTATCACCCATCAAATTACGTACTATAGTACGACTAAGTCAACGACTAAGATGGATTGTGCAGTATGATGGATAAACGTGGATGTAATTCACCTTTATCCCTCATATTACACAATCCGACACAGCACATTGAGGTTAGATTACGTTTAACGTGCAAAGCAGTATTTAATGGGCCGGTAAGTTGTTTCACAGCCTTTATTTTGTTTTCATATTTTATTCCTTTACGTTTTTCGCCACGTAGTCGTTTTGCCTTGCAGTCAGCCCATACCCGGCCACTTATTTATAATAAGTTTGTTCTGTTGTTGACCAGTTCAGTTGGTTCCAGGAAGAAGCGCTTTAAGGCTGAAATTCAAGTTCGCTATCACGATCAGGACACTGCAGTGAGAAGGAGCGAAAAGCTTATTACTGGTAATGGACTGTATTAATCTGACTAATGTTGATGAGCAAGATGATCACGACGATTACAACGTGGATGTAGGTGATTTGTGCTGAGGATTTCGATGTCAGCGATGAGCCAGCAATATCTTCATCTGTAAGCTTAAATACTCGTCATTATGAAAGACTGCAAAGAGCAGAAGATACATGGGCTAAGTTACGGCAAGCTGCTCTTTCGACCACTTTCTAGAAGGAAGGTTCGTTTGTGAACAGCACGTTACTGAGGTGTCACTTCTGTGACTCGGAAAGTGGCATTTGTCGTTGCTTGGACTGTAGTGCAACAGCGAAGTTGTGTGAATTTTGTGCTACATCAAGGCACACCGAAGTAAATATTCTCCATAGTGTGGAAATTCTTAAGGTACGTAAGTTGGTCTGAAGGTTTCCACAACAGAGTAGATTCGTAGCTGCCAGACTCTTAATTACCTGCTTCACCCGGCTGCTTTAAATCTTTGTACTTGTAAAGCTGATGTTTATAAGCTTAAAATAACCCCAGATTTTATTTGTCATTTTTCATATTTGAACTATGTTGCTTGTCAGTTATTACAATGTCTTTTAACTGGAATATTTACCAAATGTTAATATCTGCAGTAGCAGGCCAGGTTTTGCTCTTAGATCCTTAAATTATGTGCATTAGAAGCTCATGGTTTCCTTGGTTGTTATTTTTTTTTAGTATTAATGAAGCTATATCGTGCTTACATTGTAAATTACAATCACTTTTGACCACCTTGCCAGATCAGAGATTAGTTTTTTTAGTTGCTCGGCAAGATAGGATCGGAGAAAACTAATATCATTCATGTGTATCACTTAAATTAAGGATCATGCAGGGGAGTTTTAAATCAAATCACTTTGGTTTATTAATCTATTTAAACACTAAAACAAAATGACCTGCTAGTCAATTAATTAATGTTTGAATTTTTACTCTTGGCTTAATACATAAAGTGCCATATACTATCATGACTTATTCTTATTCTAGGAGGAAAATATAATTATACATTTCCCTTTGATCTTAGCAAGAACCCTGGTGCTGAACGGACATCAGTGCCCATCTGTTCATTTTCGTAATGTTTCTACCGTAGATTCTCGAGGTAAGGAAAAAAGTCTTTTTATGTGTCAACCACATGCATGATCTAGTAAAGCAGATCAGATGTAGCTCTAAAGCTGTTTTTTGTGTTTGTTCAATATATATGTATGCGACTTTGCTTGTAATTAGTTCAACATGTAATGGAAAAATGTACAGTATAACACTAAGCAGTATGCAATTTTATATTAACAAAAATGTCAGACATGATGTACATCCCTAATATTAATGTACAAAAAGAAGGAATAGACGTACTGAACCATAGAAGAAAACTGTAATTATCTTTGACATGTATGCAAGTGTTTATATATGTGCACTGATCTGACTGCAATTGTTATTTAATAATTACTCATATAGCATGAACATCAGTTAATATCCCTTTTGTTTTTTCTTTCTTTCAGGATTTCAAGTGGTTGTTGCTGTTCAGTTTGCAGTTGTGAACCTGATTTTTTACGTCTACTTAGGTTCAATTTTTGGGTGCCACACCAACAAAGCCAGAGTTGACATTCACAATGGATTTGATGAAGTTGCTGCTCACCCTTAATCTTGAATGCCAAGTGGCTGTAAAAGAATTTTGTTCTGCGATTCAGACCCTTGTTAATGATATTATATCCTTTCCGGTATTAAGATAGTTTAAAAATTATGAAATTCTTTTCTCCTTTGCTTTTAAAAACTGTCATATTGTCTATATATGCTGTGTCAGTCAGTTTACTTTACTTTCTTCTAGCTAGTTAATGAATAATATTTAGCCATAAGGTTTTTTTTATGTACTACTTTAGAACCAGAGGAAATTATATCCAGTTATTATTGACAGTCTCGAAGAGTTCAGGTTAGTAATAAAACTTATTTAATATAATATTATAGTAATAGACTAGTTGTTTCCTTATATATTATTCAGTGAAGTGGAGGTGGCTTGTGGATATTTAGCGAGCTGCATTTGAAGTGCTAGGTTAGGTGAATAGTATTGTTTTACTATGTACACACTGTACTAAAACAATTACATGATATATAATTGAGCTCACAAATGATGATTTTCAACTCATTTATTGTTCAGCAAATGTTTTACACGTTTAATAATCTAGCTTGCTGATAAATAAAACTTTTGAAGGCATTAAGTTGCATATTTTCTTGAAAAGGAGTTGTGAATCAATTCTTTCTGTACATTTGAATTCATTCTGTTTAGGACCACAGCCCCACAGCCATTTATTGCCAGCTTAATTGATGAACGATGTCAGCTTAATAAAGTAACATGCAGTCAAGCGTATTTGCATTTTTAAACAAACACTTTTCTTACTCGTGTCTTATCGGTAAATTCAGTTCAAACAAACAAAGGTAATCCTAAAATACTGCCTTTCAAACAGAATTTAATTGCCATCTTTGTGGATCACAGCTTCTTAATTATAAATATGGTAGCAGAATAACTGGTGTGAATAAGCACTGGGTATACCAATTGCAAGTTTGAGTAGCCAAACAAAGAGCAAAAAGCACCAATTATATCCATTTGTTAAGTGTATAATGATACTTACTGTCAGTAGTTGATATTTTTATGTCACAGCTGGTCTCTCCTATATAAGGATGAAGCGAAGCTCCTAGCTAATCATAGTGCTCTATTTTCAATAATCATCAATGTAGTTATGCTAATGGTATGTATTATGATATCAGTGGTTGACATTACCTTATTGTCGATTGGTGGTCGGATAGTTATTGCTGTAGATGGTCAGTGATTCGTCAAACCTGATCATGTTATTGATGCTACATGTGTATGAGAGGTGTGGCTGCACTGAGAATAACCAATGGGATGTGAACTTTTTATTACAACATTCCTTTTGTAGACATCTTTTAAGGGAATTATTACATGTAACACTCTTTCCCATGTGGTGACCTGTACATTGAACTACTGCATAGACAATATTTAACTCTGATGGTTCACTAACCATTAGGTTACTTCTCAGCAATTTGTATTGTATTGTCATTTTGAATCAGGCTGGAACGCGTTTTATTTGAATTGGAGAACACGGATGGTGTAAGTCAGCGCTGTACCACTTCTTGTGTGGAGTATACAACGGTTTGAGATGCTGCTTGTGACAGAAGCAAAAAGGTGGCATTGGTCGATCTGCATACTAAAGTTATTGAGCGGTGGTTCTTGTTGAGTTTGATATCATTTGATATATGATAAAAAGTGTAATCATAACTATAACAAAGTTCTCAAATCTGATTGGCTATCAACTGTCCTGATTTCAGCCTTAATAGGACAGTTTAATAGGACACTACGCGCCATCACGCGCGCGCTTAAATGTTTTTTTTTTTCATTGCTAGCCGAACAAAGATTGGAATTTCTTGTGTTTCGATTTAAAAAAAGAGCCAAGAAGTATATATCACAAGTTTTGTTAAAGTTATGATTAATTTTTAACAGAACTTCCTGTCGTCCAATTCGGTCTGTAATCATGCTCATGATTAAACAAATCAAAGTCCCGCAACTCGGTCCTCCGATTTTGTTAAGCACTCGTATGATTGCAGACCGAATTGGACTCCACTCAGTCGTGTTACCATTACTAATTGTTGCGGTTATGATTCCAAGCTGCTAGAACGCATTCTTGAGAAACAAGGATATGGTCCGTTTTCATGAACGTTTGATTTTAGTGACCCATTAAAAGCAGTGTCTTTATGATTTCTTTAAACCTGCCATCACGTCGCTGTCAACGTAGTACAGTTTTGCTTTGTCGAAAATATAGGCCAGGGCATAAAATAACTTGCTAGTCCTGATGCTTTTGGGCTCCAGGACTAGACAAGTGTCAGGAATTTCCCGTCTTAACATTACGGGGTTTTGTCTTTTCACTTACTGTTTGATTTTATCTTTTTCTTGGTTTTTTCTTGACCTGTCTTCTGTCCTTATCACTTAGATGGCCATGACCTTCAAGCAGATTTGTCAAGCAACAAAGAGCATGCGAACCGCTCTAGATAAATTCAACAACCTAGAATGCAGCAATGCTTGCCCATTTCCACGCTCCTTGGAGTTCGATCAAGTGAAGAACCCGGAAGCAGACGTTTGGCTACGATCGGAGTTTGTTGGTTCTGACTCGCTAGTACCCATAACCGTTAGACGTAGAGCAATCGATCTGTATCATCTGCTGGATAGAGCTAAAGAAGAGGTGACCTTACTTCAGGAAGAGATGAGAAACGTAGTTGATCACTTCAGCGGGCAGCACGCGACGTTTTCCAGTTCGTTAAAAGATGCCACGATATCTCCTTTGTCCTTAGAGGAGTTAGGGAAAAATACATTTCCGAAAATGAAACTGTTGTCTTTGGAGGGACAGCTTTTAGAGGTCAAAAGAGTTTTCCAAGGTCACATCGGAGAAGTCCCTCTCCCGAACTTAATTTTTGATCGAAACAGTATTCCGTTACAGGACGATGAAAACGAGGCTGACGAAGTGTCTGAGTTGTTGCTAACCCTCCCGGAAACAGAGGAGGATGAAGTGGACAGTGAAAAAGAATGCGACAGCACTTTTTTTAGTTCTTCGGGAATATTGCTTTAAACTAGAAAAGCGTTAACTATTCCACTATATTTCGGGCTCCTCTGGACCTCCGCAATCCTAATGTCCACGTTGCTAGTCTGCGTGAATTATAGGGCGAAGTACACATTTGGGGTTCTCAATGCTCCCATTTTCTAGTAAATGAAAATCGTCAAGCACCTGAATCAATTGTTGTGAAATCGTTGTTTTCCTACTAGTTGTCATCGACTATCGTGCCAAGAACGCTTTTCTCGCTATTTCATCCAATTTTCTAATGAATGGGAAAATCCGGCTCCTTAATATCGTGCTTTTAAATTAGTGTGTGGGGTAAACATGCGGAATTTTTCCTGGGCAGCTGGAAATAAGTGTGTGTGTTTCAGCAGCTACAGTAGACAGACACATAAAAACCAAGTGGATTCAGGGGCACTAAAAAGGAGCATGGAAAATACTTTTTAGGCTATCCCGAGTACTTTTAGATGTCTTGAAATGCCTTGCATTCTAAGCGGCCCTATATAATTTGTATCTATTCGGAGCTCCTAGAAGAAATTGAGTCTTTTCGAAATTACAAGGGTTTTAGTATTATTTTCCGAAAGAGATATTTTACAGAAAACAGTCGTTGGGTGCCGCTGTTTGTGGATTGAGAACCTCCTGTTATAAATTTGCAACTGTCATGCCAAAAATACAAGAACCTTTTTGGCCAAGTTACTTGTAGGTTAAGAAGGTTGTTAAGTGTGTGTTGGAGTTTAATTGTCCTCAACGTTTTAACCAATGAGTTTGATTTTGAGAGTGCATATTTATATTACATGAAAATAAGGTCACGGTAACAAACTGTATTAACTAATAAAAGTATCAATGTAAAAAAGGTTTATAAAAAGACAAAATAAGTACATGCTGTAATTTTGTCTTCATAAACGGGCATCGTATAAAGGAGATTGCAATGAATATTTGTCCATAAATATTGTCTATGTTGAAGTTACTTTTTTATCTCAGGTATTTTTTTGGTATGGTAATGTACGCTAATGAAGTTGAAAAATGAAAATTACCCGAGATAAAAAGAAATTAACTTTAATACGTATATATGTCAGGACAAGACTCACGTTTGTTAATTTTTTCTATTACTCAGCAACTATATCTCTTTAATAGAAATTGAGAATTTAACTGAAGATAAGTACCTCTAAAATAAAAGAACCTAACTTTGATCTCCTAAACTAAGGATCCCCTCGAAAATAACGGCTATGCGAAAGTAACGTCAATTTGCTACCTTCCGAGTAACCCCGAAAGTAGCTACTTGTAAGGCCCCAAGTAGCAGCCCTTTAAAAATTACCCCTCAATTACAACTTCAGTAAAGTTGTTTATTGAATTTATTTCTTTCTTGATCATGTAAGCAACTGAAACGGGAAAATGTATAATCACTTGAGTGAATGAACTGCTGTGAAATCGGTCGTTATTAACTAGTTTTCGCATTTTGTGACCTATGAGGATAAGTCAAGACTTTGAATGACTTGGTAAAAAACTGAGTGGTTACAGCATTTTTTTACCGGATAACCGAGAAAATATACAAAAATTACCTTTTTGTCGGGATTTAATTGTGTGTACATCATTTCTTTTATTTAATGTTGAACCAGTGCGCTCTTTTGATTTTTCAGGTTATTTTCCGATACACGGCAAAAAGGCTAGCACTTCCACGGTTGCCGTAACATCGGGCAGTTTCCTTCATTTTGCATTATGGCACTTTGATGCGTTGCCGTAAAGTCTGGCCGTTCCCTCTAGTTTCCATGAAAGGTTTGCTCAACAGTGCATTTTAGGCACTTAGATGCTTTGCCATGAAAGGTTTGATCAAAGGTGCATTTTTGGGTTCCCTTACGTTTGCATGAACGGCAGGGTCAACAGCGCATTTTTGGGCACTTAGATGCTTTGCCGTAAAATCGGGCCGTTTCCTGTAGTTTCCATGAACGACAGGGTCAACAGTGCATTTTTGGGCACTTAGATGCTTTGCCGTAAAATCGGGCCATTCCCTCTAGTTTCCATGAACGATAGGGCCAGCAGTGTAATTTTGGGTACTTAGATGATTTGCCGTAAAATGGGGCCGTTCCTTCCAGTCTCCATGAAAGACAGGGTCAACAGTGCATTTTTGGGTACTCAGATGCCCTGCGGTAAAATCGGGCCATTCCTTCCAGTTTCCATGAAAGACAGGGTCAACAGTGCATTTTTGAGTACTTAGATTCCCTTCCGTAAAATCGGGCCGTTCCCTCCAGTTTCAATGAACGATAGGGCCAGCAGTGTAATTTTGGGTACTTAGATGCTTTGCCGTAAAATCGGGCCGTTCCCTCCAGTTTCCATGAAAGACAGGGTCAACAGTGCATTTTTGGGTACTTAGATGCCCTGCCGTAAAATCGTGCCATTCCCTCTAGTTTGCATAAAAGACAGGGTCAACAGTGCATTTTTGGGTACTTAGATGCCCTGCCGTAAAATCGGGCCGTTCCCTCCACTTTGCATGAAAGATAGGATCAGCAGTGCAATTTTGGGTTTATACTTAGATGCTTTGCCGTAAAATCTGGCCGTTTCCTCTAGTTTCCATGAAAGGTTTAATTTGCTCAACAGTGCATTATAGGCACTTAGATGCTTTGCCGTAAAATCTGGTCGTTCCCTCTAGTTTCCATGAAAGGTTGGATCAAAGGTGCATTTTTGGGTTCCCTTACGCTTGCATGAACGACAGGGTCAACAGCGCCTTTTTGGGCACTTAAATGCTTTGCCGTAAAATCGGGCCGTTGCCTGTAGTTTCCATGAAAGATAGGGCCAGCAGTGTACTTTTGGGTACTTAGATGATTTGCCGTAAAATCGGGCCGTTCCTTCCAGTCTCCATGAAAGACAGGGTCAACAGTGCATTTTTGGGTACTTAGATTCCCTGCCGTAAAATCGGGCCGTTCCCTCCAGTTTCCATGAACGATAGGGCCAGCAGTGTAAGTTTGGGTACTTAGATCCTTTGCCGTAAAATCTGGCCGTTTCCTCTAGTTTCCATGAAAGGTTTAATTTGCTCAACAGTGCATTATAGGCACTTAGATGCTTTGCCGTAAAATCTGGTCGTTTCCTCTAGTTTCCATGAAAGGTTGGATCAAAGGTGCATTTTTGGGTTCCCTTACGCTTGCACGAACGACAGGGTCAACAGCACATTTTTGGGCACTTAGATGCTTTGCCGTAAAATCGGGCCGTTTCCTGTAGTTTCCATGAAAGATAGGGCCAGCAGTGTACTTTTGGGTACTTAGATGATTTGCCGTAAAATCGGGCCGTTCCTTTCAGTTTCCATGAAAGACAGGGTCAACAGTGCATTTTTGGGCACTTAGATGCTTTGCCGTAAAATCGGGCCATTCCCTCTAGTTTCCATGAACGATAGGGCCAGCAGTGTAATTTTGGGTACTTAGATGATTTGCCGTAAAATCGGGCCGTTCCTTCCAGTCTCCATGAAAGACAGGGTCAACAGTGCATTTTTGGGTACTTAGGTGCCCTGCCGTAAAATCGTGCCGTTCCCTCTAGTTTGCATAAAAGACAGGGTCAACACTGCATTTTTGGGTACTTAGATGCCCTGCCATAAAATCGGGCCGTTCCCTCCACTTTGCATGATACATAGGGTCAGCAGTGCAATTTTGGGTACTTAGATGCTTTGCCGTAAAATCGGGCCGTTCCTTCCAGTCTCCATGAAAGATAGTTTCAACAGTGCAATTTTGGGTACTTAGATGCTTTACCGTTAAATCGTGCCGTTCCCTCCAGTTTGCATGAAAGATTGGGTCAGCAGTGCATTTTTTGGTACAGTCGAACCTGTATTTAACGGCCATGTAAGCATCCACCCTCTAGTAAGCCGCCAGTTTTCAAAGTCCCGCTTTTTCGCTCATACAAACCCTGTATTTGTTACCTGTATTATGTGGCCACCCTGTAGTCAGAGGCACCCAACGACAATTTTCGGAAAAATATCTGTTCGGAAGACGATTTGAGATCTAGAATTTTCGGAACATTTGTTGTAAAATTTCTTGCTTGCCTGCCTCTCCTAGGATTTTCGGACATCTAAAAAATGGTATAATTGCCTATTTTTAACGGATTTTTACCCTAAAAAGGTCACCTAGAATTTTCGGGAGCCTTTTTTCTGGCTAAAATTTTCGAAAAGGTAAGTTTTGATCCCTATAATTTTCGGATCACTAGACTTTCAGCTAGGAAATCCGAACAGATGAAAAATTTTTAGGGGATAAAAATATGCCTATATCTACCGTTTAAACACTAAAATACGTTTAACAATTCTATGTTTAAGTGGTTTTGAACTATATTCTCGTTGGGTGCCCCTGTGTAGTAGTCCTATGTTTGTCTTTCTTTGTTATTTTTAGCTGTATTTGGCGGCCACTAAGCGATATGTCATTCTATGTATTATTTCATGGTGTTTAAAATGCGATCCATCATGACTATAGAAAACTAACATGTACAATCCCGGGGTACAAAGGTACTCTAAGCTGATACTCGGGCGTTTAGTATCATTAACGCTTTTCAGATGTCTTCAGATTTATTGCATAGTACGTACTTTTACATAATGTTACGTATTTTATACCGTTAAGGTACCAGTTGGCACCGAACTTTGTTTCAAGTATTGTTCGCTTGAAAGAGTTTTGATTGTCGTATTGTTTCCTTGACATTAAAACACGCCCGGTGAGTATTCTTTTATCCTGTATTAAGTGGCCAGTTCCTCAAGTCCCGAAGGTGACAGTTACACACTGGTTATATACAGGTTCGACTGTATTTGGATCCTATTTACTAGTCTATGGCAGTTAGTCTGGCGCTTCGATGACCTGGCGAACAAAAAGGCTGTTCCTTTCATTTTGCGTAAAATATAGCGCCAACGATGCCTTTTTGGCACGTAGATCCCATTTTCAAGTAACTGGAAAATTGCCTGGCACTGATAGCGGCCGTAAATTCAGAGTGTCCCTCCTTTTTTCATGAAATGTAGGGTCGAACAATACATTAGTGGTACGTCTCATTGTCAAGCTAATGTGAAACGTTCGTGTACTTTACTGAGCTGCCAATTGCCAAGTTTGGGGGTGTTCCCCTATTTTTTATGGGATATCATTGTTTAAGACTGCGAAATCACCTGGCCGTCCAAATGAATTGTTGAGAAATCTGTTTCCCTCTAGCTTCACTTCTTCGTGTAATATTGGGACAAATGCGCTGGCTCCCTTTTCATGATGCATTGCGTTAAAACGTCTGGTCCTTGAATGAGTTGCTGCGTAATGAGACCCTATACTTTCATAGAGTATTCTGTACTTGTTTGGGCTGCCGTAAATTGAAATTGTTTGTTTTTCACTTCAGTTAATCGGGGCAATGCAGCATGTTTTACTGATTCGCTCGCCACTTCGATGAGCCACCCACACGACACACGTGTATTACTTTGAATATTTTGTTTATTATTTTTTGTATTTGCAATGACTAATTAAAAAATCATTTAGGCTAAATTGAAATACATATCTCTATAAATCTTTAATTATTTGAAAATGAAGGAAATAGAATGGGGAACAGTACAAATTGTTTGTCTTAACTCACTCGTCCGGTGCAAAAATAATCAGTTCGTGCAAGATCACTACTACCACAAGGATTATAATTTAGTCTATATTAAATGTACGTTACAGATGTACTGCACATTACTGGGAGCCTATATCATATTAATCAATATTTCTGAAAACGTTGACTTCACGCTTATCTAAAATAACAGGGATCAACTTCGTCCCTAGGACGCTTTTCCCTGGCTTTGACAATTGCAAGGGACGTACTCGAGGGATATACAAGGATATACTCGAAGGTGGTATCAAACCCACCTCATTAATATAAAAAATGCCTTTGTTTCTAGTTTGCCTATTGAATTACGTTATTACACTCAGCAATATTTAGCGTAATTTTTGATTAATTATAACATTTAGTTATATTCTATGAAATTAGCGATAGCTGTTAAGGGACCGGTCATAAAGTACAGAGGGAAGAGGGGGGCTATGAATTTTTTTTTAAGTACTGGTTTTCAGTGGCCCACCCCTGAGTTATTTGACAAAATTGGGGCGGCCCACCCCTGGAGTGGCACAGAAAAAACTAGTGACCTACCCCCCAACCAAAACCAGTAACGCTGATTTGGATAGGTACATTAGGGAACATTGGCTTACCACTTTTGTCAGAATCTCCAAAAAATCTGCGAGATGGAAATGTGAGTGAATGAAAGAAAATAAAGCACAAGCTAGGAAGCGACGCCGTGAAAGAGCAGAGAAAAATTGTGAGAGAGTGTTCTCCGCAATCAGTCACTCATCATCTTATGGTGAAGTTATAACCTCCGATCATTGTAGTTGGATAGGCCTTAACATCTTAACAAAGAGAGATGGTAGGTGGTTCTAAAACTATTAATAAGTAAAGGTAAATTTACAGTGGATTGCTGTTTAAACAATTAG